ACATTTTGTTTCCGACCATTTTTTGAATCCCAAAAGGAAACTTTATAAATTTGCTCTGAGTTTCGACTCTCAGACCAAGCAAATTTTGGTGATTTTACTTTGTCTTTTTGCATGCGACAGCTAAGAAATGCACTAAGTTTTAAAACGCACGTGCTGAGCTATTGTTCTGCTCATAAGATTTTGCTTCGTTCTCCTTGCTGACGCCGTCCAGGTTTGCTTAAGATCCCTATTCATTGTAATTGTCAGCCATGCCTCTCCTATAAGATTAGCTTCGTGAATAAGGCGTAAAAAAATTGTAGTTTCTAAGCGTAAAACAAACGATGTTTTCTGGTGTATGTTTCTGGTTCCTTTACATATTCTCGTTACCTATTTGCTTGACAATGTCATAGCGATGGGAGGAGAAACTGCTTTTTTTTTCACTCCTGCGATGGGAAGGTTAATGCAATTAGACAGTATATGGAAAGCAACGAACAGTCATGCAAGCGGACAATTGATTGTTAAATCCTGAATTAATAGCTTCATCTAGTGAGATCACTTAGCTCAGAACCACCTTTCAAGATCTTAGAGCTATCTCTCTCAATTGCCATACATTTCTTCGTTACTTATCAGAGGCTAGACCCATTCGCCAAGCGCAGCGAAATCTAATGCATGTCAGACACATCGCGTTATGTAACATAAAATTTTTAACTATTGAGACATTGTTCCAAACCTGACCTCAACAACTGTGGACAAAAACTGATTGAATTTCCACATATCATCCCTAACTGGCTATTGATTTCACACGCACATGTGTTCGTTGATATGAACTCGAAATTTACAGACAGAAAATTGTTTTTTTATCATATATTATAATAACCTCTTCTGGAATTATCTTGTTGTCCTTATCTGTAAAGAAAATCTAAAGTTAGATTTAAAACATTTCATAAAAGATCGTTAATTAACCTAATTAATTGCCTAAGGGTCAAATTCAAGATTTATTTACTTTTCCCATTGTCAGCCCTGTACTGCATGGTGACCATTAGATAAAACGTTGAAACGGAAAGTTGCTACAACAATACAAAAAGATACGATAGATAACAACATTTCAGCAGAACCCTGAAGATCATTTTTATAGTTCTATTTTATTCTCCGAATAAAAAAACTTGTCACACCAAAATTTACATTTGTAAATAAAGTCTCAATTCTTCAGTTATCAATATCGCTGTATTTCAAGGTTGGTTACAAACGCATTTGCTCAAAGGACCGTTAAGCAAACAAAATTAAAAGTACATACTGCAATCATGCGCTGTATTGCAAATAACGGAGCGTGATGATCTTGATACAAGTTAAGAAAACGAGAAAAGCTTTGAGGACGATAAAAATAAGGCGATATCCCAGAGTGCTTTTCTCTAAAATATCACATCTGCCATTTTAGAATTTATCATTATTTCTCGGTCGTGAGAATACATTCTTGCCATTGACGTCAATAAGTCTTAATCATTTCTGAGTGAAATTCTTTCTTTTCTTTTCACGCAAAACATTTTGATGCACTCGTGGTATTTTGTCCTTTCATTGCCTGATTTTCGCCTGATAAAATTTAGCCCGTAGAAATATTCAACTTTGAATTAATTGTTATTCCTTAAAAGGATGTCATGAGATCAATTGATTCTTTTCACTAACATGGCTCAGATATCATATCTCTCCGCCCTCTGTAGACCAAACAAGGTATTTCTTTTCTTTGCCAAATTGTACCTTAAAAATGCCCAAAATTCTTAACTCTTTCAAAGTCTCCTTGTCATCTGTCTGCTATAAAATGGCCATGCAATCTGGTTAACTTTGAACTAGTGCCATTTGCTCTATGACTTGAGATGAAAGACAAGCCCTAATCTTCTCTCCAGGTTAGATCCAGATACAAACTAAGCCTTTCGAAGTTTTAAACTCGAGGTAAGGATTTTACAACTGCACAGGTTTTTCTTAGCTTTTGCTGGGATAGAAATGAAGTGACGAGTTTTCTGTTTCTGCCTTGAATTTTTGTTTCAAGAACCATTCGCTTAGGATCAATTATTTTTTTTTTTCTTTTCTGATTTTAAATTTCTCCAGGAAACACAAAAATTTCCCAAAATTGGAACAGGCTCAAGGTTCGAGTCTATTCTTTTCCATTGCCCTCGCACTTGGTAGACAGAACTTTAACCTCTTAAAAATTTGTAGAAAGATGAGAGTTTTCTCTGAAAAATGATCGCATTTTTGCATACCTATGATAAAAATAAAAAGTAATGGCCTTGTTCATATTACATCAGAAAAAAAAAAAATTTTGCAACTGATTCAGCAACGTTTTGTAAAGAAATTGGTCACAGAATTAAGACGACAACTTTTTTTAACTTCAAAAGCTTAGTTTGTTCATACTGTGAAGATTTTTACTAGTATGCCAGCAGCTATTTTAATGTGAGGAAAACTGATTTGAACAGACTGACTGATTTGTCTAGGCAGACTAAAAGCTTCAACCACTGCTGACAGAAATGAAAGCAGGGTTTTTTGGTGGTTTGGATTACACTTTCCTCTCGATTATACATGATGATCTTAATTTTACAAGACTGAACAGAAGATGATGTAAAATGACGAGAAAAACCTGCCTGCGCTTGTTTTTTTTTATTTCCCGAAGCAGCGCTAATGATTTCTATCAAAAACAGAAGACACGTGCCTCAAGCAGTAATAAAATCTGGAAGTGTCACACCAAGGAGATGGATTGCGCGGCATTTAATCTTAGAAATTTTTAGCAATGAACTGTGGTATTGTTCAATTCCTTTTCCAAAACTCGCTATCATTAAAATTAAACTGCGTTAGAGACTTCGGAAATTGTTTTTGTTAAATTTGGGAGTTTGATTTGTCGGATCCAAGAACTCCAGTTTTATGTCGGTGTTCCAGAAGTATCTATCTTGGGCGATTAATGAAATATTTATTCGTAATCAAACCATTCAAAACTCATTTTCCACCTTTCCCAGGGGATACCACCGTTTAGTTTCTCTGTTTTCAAACCAGGCATACATATAACTGTTTATACTTGCAACGATTGGAAAATTAAATTAATTTTTCGTGGAGGTATCTCTTGCAGAGATAAGTAATTTTCTAGACAAGTATTTGAACCATTCGAAGATAAATTTCATATTTTCGTAAATTTGTTTTGGGGCATAATTTCTCGCTTGAGAAAATCTTGTGACGTCAAAAATAGTATATAAAAATGGTGTTAGCTATGTCAGGCGACCCAAAAGACGTCAGAAGAGGTGGAATGGAATTGTTGAAAGAGACATAAAAAGTAATATCGCGTCAGACCATAGGTAGTAAACAAAGAAGGAGTAAATCCATAGAAAACAAAATAAAAGAATAAAGAGCTTGAGTAAAAGATGTCCAACTTTTCTGGCGAACGAGACAAAAAAGGTGAAGAGTGATGGGGCGCATCCGAACATCAGAGCGACCGATATCACGCGGGTGGAAAATATACCAATTGAACTGCAGATAAATAATTGGCAAGTTACGCTATAACAGGCGGTCAAATAAAGAAAGAAAGTATAGATTGCATCTATCGTAAGGACTTTACAAACAATGGCATGTTACGTATTTCACTTGAACAACCACGACCTGTTCCCAAGCTGCATTTTTATCACGTGTACACCGTCATCATTTTTTAAATCCGTTGGTTGAGATGTTACTTGAGATCAGCTGATAACTATACAATTGGTGTTTGAGATGGCAATTCAAGAACCTTTTAATAAAAGTTGTATTGTGAATATTTTGCATGCGCTGATAGCTGGAACTACGCTGGCGCCAAACCCCTTTTTCGCCCTCTCATTAATAAAGGCCGCATCGATTACATCCCGCTGTTAATGACGGAAAGCGGTCTGTGAAACCGTGATTAGAACTCAATTAAATGGACACTTTAATTTGTGTTCATTTATAGTTACACATCAGTAGTGCGTTTCCATCGATGCGCGAAAAGCGAATGATTTCTCTGTTAAAAGTGAAATTGATACCTTATGCTAGAGGCTTCTTGGGCCTGATATGTAAGGACATGTAACATCAAGTCGGTTTCTTTCAGTGTCGACCTCACGACCTCAGTGAATTGAGTAAAGAGAGCCGACTAAATTTAAGTAAACCCTTTAATTTAAACAGATTTACACCTGAGAACCAATATCTTCACAAAACAGGTGACGATAGGCGTCTAAGAAGAGTTGGATAGCATTCAACCAAGGAAGAGTATTGAACATCCCGTCAAAATTAGTTGGTGCTATGTTACTGATCAGTTGGCCCTCGTTTTTGTTACCTTTTCATTGTAACCATTTTTAATAAGCGGGACATGCAAACAAGATAACACAATCCATTTAACCTCCCACGCGTAATGATTATAGCGTGTTTGTTTTACATGACCCAAAGATTTCCACAAAACTGTAAACTGTGTGTAAATTTACTAATCGGTACCTCCATATTGAACATTTGGAATATGTTCAGAATTCTGTAGCAAACAAAAGTAGAAGAGCCCAATCAACTCCAACCCGCTTGACTCACATTTTCCGCTGACTCAACCTTAGAGCTATACTTTCCCTAAAAAAATTCAGGCATTTCTCAGTCATTTGCCATCAATCAGCTCTCCAGCCATATTTCTTTTTTTTTTCGCAGTTCGAACTCAGTAATAAGTTTCTGAGAATCAGAAATGAATAATTGTTTATTCATGCATGCTTTTCCTTACGTGGGTATTGTGAGAGACTTGATTGAGACAGTCGTCAAACGAATGTTTTATCGCAGAATGTTTATTTTTACACCCAATCTTTGGATTTCCTGGATTTGAAAATGTGTGTTATTTTTATCTGCGACTTAATTCTCGCGGTTAGATTAAGATATTTTTAAATTTTTTATGTGTTAATGCGTCTGCAGTAATAACCCAGTTTTACCCGGGGCTATTCCACATCTCTCACGTCCATTCAGCTTGGGTGCTGTGGCAACCACTGAAATACGCAAATTTCTTTACACAGATACCGTCGGGGAAAATCGTCGGAAGAAAAACTCAGCGAGGCTCAAGCAAGATCTATCCCTGCTGACAAATCAAAGGTGAGTTACTTTTGTGATTGAAGGTCCGCGCTCGCACATTCTACAATGTAGCACTGTTAAGTACAGCTGAATTGATTGCTGATCCATGACAACTTTGGTAGCAAACTTTAGTTGATGCTAATAAATAGATGAGTGACAATGATATTCCTGCATTAGAAATTGAACAACTGTTCAGCTGATGTTAGAATGGTTCATTCGAAGTATAGAGAAGATGGTTCCTGAACTTTCATCATTTTTTATTTCTCCAAACTAGTTGAAGCTACATGCAATGTGCCTCAATTTCGATCAATTTCTAAGGGCAGCATGATGCGTCATTTGAATTGCGTCTGAAACGAGGCATCCAAAATGATATGGCCAATAAATTTTCAAGTTCTGTTACAAAAAACTGGCTGAAGGTATAGAAGACCTTCTGAATGGGCTAAATTGTTTGGGAATGATTTCTTTGTTATCAAAAAGTTTCTCGAAATATTCCGACCCTAAATAACTGTCATCTTCGGCCACTGATAGATTTGAAGTCGCTTGCAACAATTATTTGTGTTCGCCCATCAAATGGCCTTGCTATACATTTCTTAGAATAACTTCTTACGATTCGAAGCCCACCCGTAAACTTATCCTACGATCTGCAAAGGGCCAGTAGATTTGCATAATAAACCGATGAGAGGAGGTGACAATAAAGCAAATCGGTTGACTGCATATTTATTCCCTTCCAGAGAAAAACAATATCGGTGAATAAAAATTTAATTATGCAATTTTCGCTCATCGAACTGGGTGAATTCTGTAGGGGGACTCTCAACATGATATCTGAAAGCTTGCCATTATGATGCACTCACAAGAGAGTAGCCAGCCAGTTCCTGTGTTTATCGTGTGCACCACCACGTTTGCCTAAAGCATTTCACGGCGTGAGTGAAGCTCAGTTACGATGATTGATAATTTTTTGGTACTAGCCCTATGAAAGCTATCGCCTGTTGCTATGCTTTTGACAATCTAACACATTGCCAAATTGGCATGAAAGATGTTTTGAGAAGAGAACAGCCTACACTTGAAAACAGTGTTGAATAATGTTTGCATCTTGAGTGTAGAGACAATTGCATCGCTTTAAAGTTTAAGTTGAAAACTGCAGTTCACATCCCCGTCATTTGAAGTGTTCTACCTATTCTAAATCAAGACTTGTCATTCGAAACATTATAATAGATTACACTGAGTGGAACCATATCAGTTTGTTTTTAAATTGAATCAGTATTTGTTTGGTATTTTATAAGATCCTTCTAATTAGCCTCTAACAGCATAGGGCGGAATTGATACGTAAGCTAAAATTGGTGCCAGCATGAAAATACGGCTCAAAATACTTTATACTATTTCTCAACGGTAAGCTCAAGTTTTCACGATTTTATGTTGTTCCAAAGGAGTTGATATATTGTTTCTTTATCGCCCTTACCGTCATAAGATAACACCAAACAGAGCGATCAAAGATCTTATCTTTCAGTTTTTGAATAAAATTAACAAACTTTTCATGTAGGTATTCAACTAGAGACACACCTTAACCCTTTATTGTCAGGAAAGTCAGTTGTGGTTTTGCACATTCGTACGGAAGAGATCGATAAATTCATACTGAGGGCTTGAATTCAAAAGTTATTATTGAGTCTGACGACAAACTTAAATAAGTTTATAAAAAATGCAGGTCACTATTTCTGAATTTCCTTTCTTGACGTCCGACTATGGCCCAAGGAAGTGTCATGCGCCAGACAAACGAATCATAATTTATTAGTTACTGGAGCGCTCTGGGAGTGGATCTCTATGCATTGAAATTAGCTGATGATTTTCGATTTTCGAGTCTTGTTAAATACTTTTGATAGTCAGACAGTTTTCGCGCTGCATTGTAGTGACATGAACTGAAGAGCAGTCATTTACTGCAGGCGATTCTGATGCATTTCTTGAAAATTGAGTTTGTGAGTTTGAATAGTGGAAAGTAAAATAACGTAATTTTCAGAGTTTTCTTTCTTTTGACTTTTTTTCTTTCGGAAAGGAAAGAGGACTGAGTGGAATCTAATTCGGTCTGTAATCATACGAGTGATTAACAAAATCGGGCGACCGCAAAACGGAAGTCTGATTTCTTTTTCACGAGTATGAAGTCAAAAATTCCTCCATTTTGGAAATTCCCAGTTTTTCCTAGGATTAGTGGTTGTTGCCATGGTTATTGAGATCAATTCTGTGATTGGTGGATTTAGCTGATGGACTTAGTTCGATTGGCTGCTTCAACTGTCCGATTACTGGTGTCCGATCACAGCCAACTATCCGATGACACTTTCCGATTACAACTCTTCAAAATGATTAGTGAAAATAAAGCAGTTAGTGCACCAATCACAATTGAGGAAATTGCGATGGTCGTGATAAGATGAGAAATCCTGAGTCTTAAGCAAAATCTCGGAGTCGCAGCAATCGTGTCAGTTTTCATCGTTCCTCCAAAGCCATGTATGTTCTCAGCTTTCGAAAAGGACAAAATGCAAATAATGATATTTAAAACATTCAGTCATATCCAACCCCAGTCGTAGATCTTAGAAGCCAAAACGTCACCAACTGGCAGTTTGCCGTTTACGATGATCAATAATACTTTGCTCAATTTGGAGCAAGCTTACTCCTCTCAAATTATCAAACATACCGAAGGCTCATGAAATTGCTTCATATCCTATATTTTTCATTGCTCAGCAACAAATTGTCGACTGCGTGTCTATGGCGTAGTTGTAATTGCTTATTACGAGCGCTACACCAACTAGAAAGAAGTAAATGTCATTAACTGAAGAAGCATTACAACATCAAAATCCCGTCTCTATGGAAACGACCCAAATGAAAAATATCAGGGTCAGAAATATTGATCAGTAGTGAGACATGTCAGTGCTCACGCACACGAGCCGTGAAAGTGCCGGAAAAAGTCCCCATAAAACCAGCCCACAAAGACCCAACATGTCTTATTCGATATAAGGAAAACTTCATGTAAACCAGGAACTGACTCCTGCGCTATGTGCCGGCCCAGGCTCCGATCAACAATGGTTGTAAAGCCCGAATTTACTTGGAGTTTTGGAGTTCTAACCAACCCTATTCTTACAGGCAATAAAAGCGCAAGTACTTCTACGCAAGCAGAGAACGGGCCTTATCTGAAAAACTTAGATTTTCATGCGCATAATTGGCCTTACCTGTTTTACATTTGTCATTGTTTAGGATGTGGCGTAGAAGGTCAACATAAAGCTTACCTCTTTTCGTATAAAAAAAAAATCACACGCATGTCATTGTATGCTTTTTATGGAAATTATCTTTCACCGTATTATTACTGATTGAGTTTCAGTTTTCGCAAGGCATAGACATTTGTGTTTTTAAGTGAAAATGGTTTCTCACTACAAGCTCAATTTATATACACTGCGTGTAAACCTCTAAAAAGTAAGAAAATTCCACTTTCGGAAAATTCATGGCCAAAAAAAATCCCCTAAATATTCGTTGCACAAAAAAGGAACAATGCTTTCTTGATCTGAGCATATAGAATAATATATGAAACAACACAGTTGCGCTCATATTCCTTACATTTTTACTTAAAGGGATTCAATATCTGTTGAGCTATCAGATTCTGAGCAATTTGATAAGGAACCTGGTTGCAACCCCAAACTAAGAGAACATTCGAATTGTTCGTTGGAGGTCACGCTACATATGGAATCTTCCTTGCGAGACCGCTTATACTCTGTAAATTTCGTATAGCAAAGTTGAAAGCAATCTATTCCGTTTTACTAGTGCGAGGAAGTGTTTGAAAGATGCCGCCTAGAGGAAAATTTGCCTAGCACATCTTAAAATCAAAGATACTCTGGCGCCAACAACAGGTGACCGAGTAACACAATTGAAGATATGTTATTTGCTAAACCTAAAATGGAAATGTGAATTGGCGAAATTAGTTCACAAAACATGTTGCCACAGATGAAGGACGTGATGTAGTTTTATTTTGCGTACTGCATTTGAAATTCTCGTGAACTCTGTCCTTATGTACAAAAGGTTCCCGATACAAACCACTTCGCATAAAATTTATTCACATATTCAATTCATGAGTGACATTGGAAAACAATGGCATTGAACTAAAAATACACGAAGAAATCGACTGGAAAAAAGTTCGATTTCTATCTCGAGAATGGCCTGTATTTCATGAACACACTGTATCAGGAGTAAATCGAATTTACCCGAATTAGCTGCGACATGTGGTGTATAAAATTACGAGCAACTGAGCCACAGCTGTGTGAGCGATGGGTCATCTTTGCCATAAGCCCAAATTAAGAACTTGAAGATGAGGTAGATGCATTAATTTCTCCAGTCCTGTTTTGGTGACTCTGGTACAGCCGTAAAGATCAATGTTTGTTATACTAGTCAAGTTTTCGGCGATAGAAATCAAGCTTGCGTCCGTGATTTGCGTGCATTGGCCAATATTCAAAACGCGAAGGTCGTGTAGACTTCGCGCAGCCTTGCAAAGACCATCATCCGTAATATGACAAGAATTCAAGCCCAGATTTTTCAAATGATGAAGTCCATTAGATATGTGTTTTAGTGCTGCATCTCCCACTTTGTCGCAAAAGCTTACGTCTAGGTACGTTAAATTAAGGCCTCCTACTGCCAAGTGTGCTATTCCTTCATCGCCAATACTTTCACAAGATCGAAGGTTCAATTCGCGAAGGCTTCGCAGACCAGCCAAATGAGCTAGTCCACTTTCCGTAATACCACAACAGAAGCTTAAATTGATGGACTCTAAATGTACTAGTCCTTTAGCTATGTTGCTTAGTGCGTTATCGGTGATCTTTTGACAGTCTTGTAAACACAAAGTAGTTAAATTCTTGTTTCCGCGCGCCGAACTCGCATTCAATCCAGCGAGATGTGCGATGCCGGTGTCCGAGATGTGTCGGCAGCTTCGAAGATTCAAGTATTTTAACTTCGGTAGGCCCCACGCACAAAGTAGCAGTCCCGTGTTCGTTATATTA